CCCCAAAACCCCAAAACCCCAAAACCCCAAAACCCCTCGTAATAAAAAATAAATTGATAATTAAAGATGAACAAATACCCAGAAAGAAGGAACATCAGCCTCAGTAATAAAGAAGAAGGTCCAGAGAAAATTATCAAGAAAGGAGTAATACCTAATTCTAACATTCGGAGTCCTCATAAGAAAATTGTATCATACAAAACTCTTAACAGAAGATCCAAGTCTAGAGTGAAAGCTGACCTTGAAAGTGTAGATGAATCCTTAGAGGAACCTGAGTCATTTCAGAGTAATTTGAGGAATAGAAAAATCTTAAATACTAACGATCCTCCTCAGAGAAAAATGATCGAGAAACCCTTCCAACAAATAAATTCAAATAAAACATTTGAAATGGAGAATATTGAGGGAAGTAAGACTCCTAATAACTGACATAATGAAGATCGTTATAAGCATGAGGAACCTCAAAAGCAAGTAAATAGAAAGGAAAGAGAGAATTATAATATATCTTATATCGAACAGAATAAGCAGAACAAGGATATTTCTGGATTAATGACAAACAAGAATATGTTAAGCAGTTATAAATCCCAAAAGGCACTTCGGAAATTCAAGAAGTCTCCTCAAAGAGAATATTCGCGGATAAAACAAAATCTTAACAAGCAAGCCAAAAGTCCTGCTGATAAGCTGCTCAATAACTATAAGCATAAGCATGATGACATCAAGTCCAAGAAAAGCTCTTTGCGTCCGTCTCCTCATAAATCAGTTAAAACTCTCAGAAGCACTTCGCCTCCGTCTAAGTTCGGCTTGCAAGATGCTGAGACTCCGATGGACATGTACAAAATGAAGCGATTCCAGCACAGAAAGCTCCACAAGCACAATCCTAACATTGTGAGTCAGCTTAAGCAGCAGAATGACTCGATTGATGATGCTCCGAAAGCCAACATCGTCCGTCCAAGCATCAGCAGAATCAAGTACGGGTCACAGCCTAATTTGCACACAGAAGATCACAAAGAGCATCATAAAGTCGAAGGTAAGAAACTTCTGAGTGTTTAGACAGCCTCAACAAGCTAAGTATGAAAGCCCAGTACAAAAACCCTAAAATCAAAGACTTGTTGTCAGGTCGCAGAATGCCATACGAAGAAGCTTTGAATTACAGCAGTCTGAGTCAGAGCAAAAGCCACAAGTTCTTGTCGCCGAATGCATTCTCAAAGCTCCAGCATGACAAAGCCAAACACAGAAACAGAAAAGACAGCAGGCTCGAGCACAGTCCGAGCCAGCAAAGTGTGTTCGAGCGGCTTCACAACGAGAAAGCCGAAAAGCTACTTAAGATCGAGGCTTTGCAAGAAGAAGCCAAACTCCGCGACTCTGCTTCCAGACATAACAGTGTCGAGCCTCACAAGTCGAAGTCAGCTGACAAACGCAGAAGGAAATCATCAAGGTCTCCAGACGACTTCTACAAAAAGCAGATGGACCTCAAAATTGATTCTGACCGAAGACTGGCGTTACAAGCCAGACAGCACGAAATGGAACAGATAAAGCAGCTTAACCAGAACAGGTCTCGGAGTAGACACAGAAAGAAGAGCGCCAACCCCAACTCTGAACTGTACAAGAATGTTCATGAAAGACTGTTCCATGGAGCCAGGGACAGGTCGAGATAAAACAAGCACTCGAACATGACCCCAAACAGCGAAATTATGAATCTGTAGGGAATCTTAGCATTTCATCACTATCTAGAGGCGAGTTTAACAAGCATCCTTCTCACTTTCAGCACTCGCATGTGAAGCCCTCTGATGCGCTGCACGTACCCAGGATTAACAGCAAGTCGAGGAGAATGGCGACACCGAAGAGGCAAGATAACCTCTCAGTCAATGACTCACTGTACCAAGACGCTGAACGTAGAAGACAAAGACAGCAAGACCACCTCAGAACTAGCAAATCGAAAGAAAAACAGAAATACCAGCAACAGCGTGAGCGACCCAGCAACCGCTCAAGAAAAATTCTGATCAAGAAGTACCTGATCGAGTTCGACGGAATCTCTCAGAAACTTGGAGTCGGTGGAGACCCTGAGTCTCCGATCCACTACACCCAGTACATCATGCTGATGCAGCAGCTTGGCCTTGTGTCCGACCAGAACGAGACAGACCTCGACAAACTCAAGATGGTCTGGGGCATCATCCAGGATCAGAACTCCGATCAAGACACTGGACACTACTGCAGAAAGCACTCGCTCAAAGTGATCTGTGCAGCCATTTGAGGCTTCAAGACCAAGTGGATGTTCAGAGACTACACTCGGGGCCAGAACGTCAAGGCCAAGGCACCCAAGAGAAGTGTGATTGATCTGAATGGAGACCAGAGCGGAATCAAGCTGGACATTGGATGCTTCATTGAAGGACTATTCTTTCTGAACCACAAAGAAGAGTGAGGATATGTACAACGGTTGTTTTCTTCGTTATACACAAACAGAATAATAAAGAAGGAAGAGCGAAAACAACGCAACCCAGAAAATAATTCCTGATCAAAACCTAATCGGAAACTTAGCCAAGTTAATAAATCAAAGCCTAAAATCAACAAATAACTCTTATTATTTGACAAATTCTCATGATAGCAATTGCTCTGTGGAAGACCGTCTTCTTAATAAACAAAAAGAGTATGATGAAAGACGTAAAAGTAAAAGAGAAGAAACTCAAGAGGTACAATTTAAGGAATGCACATTTACCCCATCGTTAAAGAAAAAGACTGTGGCCCAACATAGTCAAGCTGACATTAACGATATGAAGAAGAAGTTACAGGCAAGTGCTTATGATGTTCTCTTAAGAGAAGAGTCTAAGAGTAGTCAGATAAGTCTGGATCAGACAAGGACAGATCATAAGGAAAGTCAACCTCGCCAAGAAGTAGAGATCTCACAAATTTCTGGGATTTCAAATACCAAAGAATCTTTTTCTAACCATCCAGAAGAGAAGTTCCAAGAGCAACCTTCAGCTCAAAAGCCATTAAGTCATACCTCAGATTTTCCAGCTGAAGATCCTGAGGAAGATAGATATGATGAAGAAGCTAAGGAACTTGGCAGCTATCTTCAAGAAAATTCTCTTGAAGAAGTTCACAAAGATGAGAATGTTGATTTGACTCCACAAAAGAATGCATTTAGCCCTGATGATGTTCAATCAGGAACCGACAATGAGCCTCTAGAGCTCCCTAGGACGACTCCTGAGCAAGAGTATAGCCATGAATATGAAGAAGAGGAAGACTCAGAGGAAAACTATCCCATCCTCTTCCTCGATGTCAATCTTGGAAAAGACAAAGTAGAGAGACTAGTCATTTTTGACGGAGATGATCCACAAACTGTAGCAGAAGAGTTCTGTCAGAAGAACGGCCTGGAAGAAAAGAAAAGGAAAAAATTAGCCAAAGTTATCAAGAAACAGCTCGATAGCCTTCTCACAAGGATTGATGAAGATGAAGACGAAGAGGAGTCTAGAGATTAACCTTCTAATCTAATGATCAAATAGAATAATATTATTTATACTTTCAAATGGAGGAAAATAACCCGGGGTTTTGGGGTTTTGGGGTTTTGGGGTTTTGGGGTTTTGGGGTTTTGGGGTTTTGGGG